GATGCTGGAATTATGGCCGATCCAGATATTTTCCACCATTGACAACCATTAAAAAGCTTGAAAGCTTTGAATTCAAATTTGGGTTTTTAAAAATCATTATTTATTTGGATTGGGTGTTGTTGAAAATAATCGGGAATATGGTTTGGAGTTTATATCTCAATTTTGAGGGGTTTGGTGAAGATTAGACTTGGTTTTGACTGAATTTCAGTTTGAAACTCGAAGAAGAAGAAGAAGAAGACATATTGCAGAAATTGTAGATAAAAATTGTAGATTATTTGTATTCTGATTGTAGATGCTTTATTTTCTGTTTTCACAAATAAAAAACGGCTAAAACTTCTACAAATCTTCTGAAAAAACGCAATTATGTCAAAAATACCAATTATACTACAATTGAATGAGAATTGGGATAATACAAATAATTTACAATTTATCTACAAAATATCTACAAACTAGGTACATTGAATTTTAATATCCCAATTGTCATTCAATTGTAGCATAATGATTGTAGATTTTAGGAAAAAAACAAAAGGAGATTGTTAACAATGAGAAGGGTGTTCTTTTGGGACCAATTTTGAGATGTTACCTTGGCGGATGTCGGAATTATGGCCGATGAATAGTGATTTCAGAAATTGTAGAAGAAGAAGACATATTGCAGAAATTGTAAATAAATTGTAGATAAACTATAAATAAATTGTAGGTTATTTGTATTCTGATTGTAGATGCTTTATTTTCTATTTTCACCAATATAAAACGGCTAAAACTTCTACAAATCTTCTGAAAAAACGCAATTATGTCAAAAATACCAATTATGCTACAATTGAATGAGATTTGGGATATAAAAATTCAATGTACCCAGTTTGTAGATATTTTGCAGATAAATTGTAGATTATTTGTATTATCCCAATTCTCATTCAATTGTAGCATCTACTGCTGCTCGATCTTGCAATGTCGAAGTGCTGGTCGTAGGTTTTACAGGCTTTGCATAATCCATAGGTGTTGTCGTGCATGGCTGGGTGATGTTAGGGGGAGGTTGGGGAGGAGGCCCAACGAGTGAGGGTAGCTGGCCACTGGCCATAGTGGCCATGGCTGCACTGCGTAAAGGAGCAGTGATCTATCAACTCTAACGTTTACCTTCAGGAATCTTGAAAAACATAGATCAACCCAGATTTTCACGACAGCACTCTCTTGCACCAAAAATAATTCTTTAGCACCTTAATAACTATGACAAGAAATGCATCAGCTTATGCTAATTCGATGCTACAGTAGTTCCGAAAAACTTTTTAAAATCTGGTTTTGATTTTAGCTTCAAACCTGTGAATCACGCTTAAAAACAAACCATCCAAGTTGATCTTCAATCATCCAACTTCACGTTACAATAAGCAGAAACTTGCAAGGGCAGCAAACGTTGAAATTGGCTAAAGAGAGCTCGATGCTACAGTAGCTCTTAAAAATAATTTTAAGATCTGTTGTGAATGATTATAGATTTTAGGAAGAAATCAAGCGGAGATTGTTCACAATGAGAAGGGTGTTCTTTTGGGACCAATATTGTGACCTTACCTTGCCGGATGCCGGAGTTATGGCCGATGAATAGTGACGGAATCACGATTCATGGTCTTCCTAGAGAGAAGGGAGAGGATTGTGACCTTAATAGGGAGATGATATAGAATTGGTAATTTGGTATACTAAGTGTAATTAAGTCAAACCTTAAACATTAAGGGTAATAAGGTTTTTCTTATGTGGCATAGGAACGTAAAAATCCCTAATTTTTATTTCCTGTACACTGTTTTTTTTTATATAGAAAAATGATACATTTTTCTTGAAATCAATTTAACGAGATAATATATGGAATTTATTTGACACAGAAACTTACTTTTTATAAGGAGCAAAAATGAAAAGACATCTGAAACCCGCATCACTCATTTAAATGAATACTTTTGCTATATTTTATATATTTGACTTAGATGTCAAATTTCTTTTTTAATTATTATATTCGTAAACATTAAACACATTTACGTCAAACTAAAAAAAAAAAAAAAAAAAAGGTAAGATATTTTCACTTCGGTTTTCATCTGTGGTGGGATAGGGAGGAGGATAATAATTTGATATCAAGAAAATGCGAACACAAAATGCATCGTACTAATAAAAATATTGCCATGATTGTTTGCGTAAAAGGTAATTTGGAAAGTAAAAATAGTCGAATCTGTTGCTTCTTCGATCTTCAATCTTTCTAAGACTTTGACCTTCGATTTTTACTGTGAAATTCAAAAGTGTAACATTTCAAAAAAAAAAAGGTAAAAAAAAGACCAAAAAATGAAGGAAGGAAAGATTCTTGCCATAAAGACATAATGTGCGGGTCAATTGGTTTTGTGACTCTTTGTAAATTTATTTTTAGTTTTATAATCCTGCCTCTTTTTTTAGATATTTACTTTTACACGTAAGAGATTTGTCTTTTACACATAAGAGATCTAAAAAGATTATTTTCTTAAATTATAAATTATAAAGAGACATGATGTACAAATAGCACGGAATGTGCGTTGTAATTGTTCTTTTTCTTACTCATTCTTCGTTTTTCTTTTCTTCTTTTCCAGCGAAGACCACGAACTTCGATGACCTTCTCCGGCGAACTATTTTTTTCTTCCATTTTTCCTCTAATCCTCTTCCTCTCATCTCACCACCACCTCGACACCGTAACCATCACCTTCACCTTCCTCTGCCTCATTTTTGTTCTTCATCCATTTAATCGGCACCATCACTATTACCCAAATCCAGATCTTATTTCTCCAACTTCCCATCGAAACATAGAAGTCAGCGAAAAATAAAATCAAAATCGAAACTCACAATCGGTAATAATGAACTCCCCGTAGGTAAAAATGCAGTTTCTGATTGGTAGAATTAGACTTTAAGTTTGGTAGAAACAAACTTGCATACACATACTCTAATCAAACAAGGACTGAATCAAAGAATGGATCTTTATAAACTGTTAAAAAAACAGAATATGAAGAAAGAATGAAAAAGAAAAAAAAGAAGAAAATATACTTGGATAAGGAAAAAAAAGGAAAAGAAAGAGAAAAAAAGTTAAATTTCTTACGAAATAGACATGTAGCAGTGCGTGTATTTCACTGCTTACCAAGAATTTGGTTATCTAGTTTTAGGGTGGTATTATTCTGTTTTTAAAAAGTTGAGGAGGCTAATTGGACCTCCGTAAAGATAAGGTGTGTAGTTGGAACTTTGACTGTAGTTCAAGGGGGTACTTATGCCTTTTTGCTATTATCTTATAGAGGTTAACTTATTTTCATATATTTTAGAGTAATTTAATCCACTAAATAATTTTGAAGTTGTTTTTCTTTCTCTACTGGTAGGTGAATCCTTAAAGTAGATTAGTTCGATCAGTGATAGCATTAGAATCAGCGTTTTGCTTGGCATAATTGCAATATGACTTTCCTAATCTATTTAACTAGTTGAAGCTAGCCAAGAGAGACCTTTCTTACCATATCACTTTTGGATCGAAAAAAGGGAAATTTAGCAAATACCCATGCAACATAAAATAATTACCCGCCTCTCCAATCCCTTTTTTCCCTTACCTATTTTTTCTAATACCCAGCTAAATGAAGTCAAATTAAGTTATTAAACCAAGCCAAGCCAAGCCAAGCCAAGTCAAACCAAGCCAAACCAAATCAAGCTAAGCTAAGCCAAATGGGTAAAAGAAGTGGGAGGAGTAGGTTGGGTAATTAATTTTAATTGGATAGGTATATATTGTAACTAGTTTTCAAATGGATAGACAAGAGTAATTGTGCAACGGGTATTTTGCATAAATTACTCTTGAAAAAAATTAGTGGGCATAGTCTTCATTTGTCGGACAAAAACGGACTAGCTAGACACTTACATAATTTAGTATATAAAAATAAATAGGCTTACATGACAAATAAAGTGTGCGATAAAGATTGATGCTTCCGTAAGATATACTCCTATAACTTATAAATAAACGATCAACTTTAGATGACGACATTCTCCTGAATAAGTAGGGGAAGGGACAAATATTTATCGTGAGAGGTCTTTAATCCTGTACTTCTAGTCCCTTTTTGGCTCTTTTCTAGCAAGAAAATTGTAAGAAGACTAACCTCAAATATTAAATTAGCTAATATTACCTAAAATTTTGAATATGCACTTGGATTGGGCAATCAAAAGCCAAGTAGAGCTACCACGCTTAGGCAGCTAACTAATAGGCCATCAGAAAGTGTTGGACAAGTCCACGAGAAGATAAATTGATAGTAATAACGCGAGCTAGCCACTTTTCTGTTTTGTAATTGAAAAATAGTTATTATAATGAAGTTTCTATCGAGATTATAGATGTGGACTAAGCTCTGTATCTCCTCGAATATGGGATTTGGTAGCCTCTAGAAGATAGAGTTCGTAGAGAGAGAAATGAGAGCTTGTCTCTGACTTTATGAAAATGAAACTCTAAGTATAGTATTGAGTACTGTTTAGTTGTATACAAGTGTAAAGCTAAGATACAGCTGGAAAGAAAATAAACATCTACTAACTAATCAACCTCCACTAACAAATCTGCTAACATACTATACTAACTAACACTAACTAATGGTGTGCTGACTCAGCTCAATTACGATATAATTATAGTCTTAATACCCCCCCCCCCACCCCCTCAAGTTGGATGTGAGGAGATCACACCCAACTTGCCAAGAACAGAACAATGCTTGATCCGAGCGAGAGTTTTAGTGTGGACATCTGCAAGCTACTCTCCAGTGCCAATGTGATGCAAATAGATGAGGCCTTCCTGAAGCTTTGTGCGTACAAAATGACAGACTACTTCAATGTGTTTGGTTCTTTCATGTTCAGAACAAAGAGGCTGTCACAATGTACAGGTATTGGCAAACAAACTGGCACAGTGAGTTCTTCAAGTAGCCTGGATAGCCAGACTAGTTCACTAACAACCTTTTCTTAGGGCTCTGTATTCTACTTCTGCTGAGGAGAGAGATGTTTTCCTATTTCTTGGACTTCCAACTAACAAGGCTGCCACCCAAGAATACAAGATAACCAGATATTGATCTTCTAGAATCGGGGTAGGCTGCCAAATCAGAATCACAATAAGCAGTAGCTGAGAGATCATCTACATTGCTGAAATATAGACCTAGAGTAGGATCCTTCTTCGGGTATCTCAGCATGTGATAGGCTGCATGCAAGTGAGGCTCCCTAGGATCTTGTATAAATTGACTGAGATGTTGAACCCCATATGTTATGTCTAGCCTAGTATTAGTAAGGAAGTTCAGCTTTCCAACTAACTTCCTATAGAAAGTAGGATCAGACAATGGAGCCCCCTCTTAACTTTCAATTTTACTGTAGGATCAAGGGGAGAAGTCAAGCTTGGAGAATATAGGCACTCATACTCCTTTAGCAAGTCTAGGACAAATTTTCTTTGTGAAATGATAATGCCATCTGTTTTGTAAAGGATTTCCAATCCTAGGAAGTAATGTAACTTCCCCGGATTATTAATTTTGAACATGTCATATACAAAAGCCTTAAGCTGGTTGATCTCTTCTGAGTCAACCCCTGTGAGCAACACATCATCAACATACACTGCTACAAAGACAATAGAGGAACCTTGCCTCATGTGGAACAAGGAATAGTCATGCATGGAATGTGTGATCCTCTTGAGTATAGGAATTCAATCAACTTATCATACCAATGTCTACTGGCCTGCTTCTATCCACAGAAGGACTTGTTTAGCTTGCAAAATTACCCTGGTGAGTGCACTTCAAGGCCTGGAGGAGCCTGCATATACACCTCCTCATGCAAATCTCCATGGAGGAATGCATTATTCACATCCAGTTGTGAGATTTCCCATTTTTTCTTTGCTGCAATGGCAATGAGAGACCTGGCAGTGGTCATCTTGACTACTGGAGAGAAAGTCTATGTGTAGTCTATACCAGCATGCTAAGTGTATCCCTTTATAACTAGTCTTGCTTTGTACCTTTTTATGCTGCCATCTGCTTTATATTTTACTTTATATACCCATCAACATCCAATAGCCCATTTTCCTTTAGGTAAGGGGACTAGATCCCATGTATTATTAGCATACAAGGCCTCAAATTCCTGTGTCATGGCACTTTATCAAGCATGATACAGGGTTGCTTCTTCATATGAAGTTGGTTCTCTACCATGGCAGATGTTTTTTACAACATACTGGCTATCAGGATGCAGGGTATCAGAAGTAATGTGGTTGTTATGAGAAAATATAGCACGTGGAGAAAAATTAGTATTAGACTTTAAGTTTGGTATAGTGCAAACATAATCATTCAGATGGGAGGGGAGTTTGTTCTCCCTGTGAGATCTTTTGTGTCCTAGTGGTTCTTCTACTGAAGGCTGAGGTGATATTGTGGGTTGAAGGTGTTCAATAGGGACATGTGTCTCATGTGAAGAGGGTGTAGGTGAGGAAGAAAGATGTGGTATCAGAGAATGGAAGGTTTATGTTTTCATTAGTATTGTGAGGCATACAAACATCAATATGATTAAGTGAGTTATCAATGGGTGGTACATCATGAAAAGCAGGTGGTATGTTGTCTGCAACAGAACTGAAAGTAAAAGGAAAGACAGACTCAGAAAGAAACATCTCTAGAGATATGTAAATGCTTAGTGACCAGACTTAGTACATTATATCCTACAAACACATGTGGAGTAGTCCTTGGCTCAAGTTTGTCCAATTGGGCTTCTTCCCATGCAATAGTTCAAAAGGACATTTGTTCTTTAGAGGAGTAGTTGGAAGTCTGCTAATGAGAAAAGTTGTTATAAGTACACATTTTCCCCAATATTTTAATGGTAGTTTGGATTGAAAGAGTAGTGCCCTGACCACTTCAAGAAGATATTTATGTTTTCTCTCCATCACTCCATTTTATTGTGGTGTATAGGGGCATATTTTCTGGTGGTTTATTCCTTTTGATTGGAAGAAGGGAGCTGCTTCATTGCTAGTAAACTCTAGGCCATTATCAGACCTTACACATTTAATAGTGGTTTGGATTTGGTTTTCTACCATACTTACAAATGCCTTTATGACTTGTAGGGCATTACTTTTGCAACTCAATAGATAGGTCCAAGTGGACCTACTATAGTCATCTACTAGGGTAAGGAAGTATTTGAAGTAATTATGTGAGACCACATGGTAAGGACCCCACATTTCTACATGAAGTATTTAAAAAAATTTAGTGGTGTTAATTGTTCTTTGAGGAAAGGGAAGCCTAGACTGCCTGGTCATAGGGCAAATGGTACACATGAAAGGTTGTTTGGCAGAAATGGTTGCAAGTATAGTAGAAATGCCTCTCATTTTACTGAAGGGCAAATGACCAAGTCTTAAATACCACAATAGATCTACATTATCACTAAGAGATGGGCAAGAAGACAAACCAGAAACACCGTCTTCATTGCTGCAATTGGAATTATTTACAATAGGGAATGGATTGTGGGAATGAGATAGACAGTGTATAGTATTCATATTATCAGCATGAACTGATAAATAAGGGAGATTACATGTTTATTCAGGTGTAAGACTACCTTTCTTTAGATACTTAGAACAGAGGAAGTACAGTCCATCACACATCTTACCAATCTCCAGTGGATTCTTCAATGAAGAGGCCTGCAATAGACAGGAAGTGTTAGAAAAGGATGCAATGCATTTGATATGTATTACTAAGGAGCTGATATACACTAGATTGAATTTGAAGGATGGAACAAACAAGACTTTGTACAGAACAGTTTTAGGTGTTAGGGGCATATCTCCAATTTCAGTTACTTTAACTTTCTAACCATTTTGAAGTTTAACTAACAAAGGTTATGGTAAGCTTATAATATTTTGTAAGTGAGTTTTGTTAAAAGTCATATGGTGTGATGCCCTAAAATCTAATATCCATAAGTCAACTTTTGCATTAAAACATCTGCATGATGGATTATAGAAGCTCCACTGGACATATTTGCACTGCATGAGTTTTCTCCAGTACTGCCAATCTGAAAATGCTATAGCAGGCTCACAATTTGTCCATACTGCTCCTTTGAAAGACTCGTGCTTTGATTTTCTCCTTGGTGTTCCACCTCCTCTCCTCCATCTATGTTTGAAACTACATTTGCCATGGTGTTCATCTATATGTTGAACCTTGTATTGTTGTTGTATCCTTGAGAACTTTGTTTGTACTGTTGTGACCCTTGATTAAAACCCTGGGAGTATCCATGTAGTTTATAGCACTTGTCTTTCGTGAGACCTGGTTGTTTGTAATGGTCTCAAAAAGGTCGGGGTCTGTTCTTTGTAATCTAATTTCCAGTTGAGTAATTTGTCTTGAAGGTTCTCCTCCTAGATTAGCATTCAATGCAGTGGAATCAACAGTTAGCTGATTTCTCGGCCTGAATTCCCTCTGCTTTTCCTCCTGTATCAGCAGAGCAAATGCATGTGCAATGGATGTCAAAGGATTCATCGTGAGTATTCTTTTTCGAACAACTATATAGACTTCATTGAGTCCCATTAGAAATTATGTCAATCTTCTATTTTGTTCTGCCTTATGCATGCTTGCCTTTGCCCCACAGGTACACACACAACTACAGTCAGTTTTGATACTCAAAGTATTCAATTCTTTCTAGAGCTTTTTCATTTTTTTGTAGTAGCCAGTGATGTTAAGCACTCCTTGACTCAATTTATTGATTTCTTTCTGGATTTGGTACAAGTTAGCTCCATTCGTCTGATCATATCGATCATTTAGTTACTTTCACAGCTCAACAAAATCGTTCACATACTCAAAACTGTCAGCAATGTCTTTTGCCAGTGAATTTAGGATCCATGAGGTAACCATATCGTCACATCTGTCCCACTGAAGAAAATGTAAAGATGTTGCATCGGGTCTCTTACAATACCCGTTAATTAAACCTAATTTGTTTTCACTGAAAGAGCTCCCAATGCACTTTTTCTCCAGGAACGATATCCAATTCCATCAAATGGAACAGGTACCAATGTGGAACCGGGACTGTCAGAAGGATGTATGTATAGAGGGCTAGTTGTATCAATTACAATCTGTGTTATTGTTTTCCTTGTTATCTCTTCAGCCTGGTCTACAATCACCATCGTAACTATGCAAAATCAGTTGGATTGATATTCGTGTAGCTTAAATGTAGCTCAAATTCTTCTATTTGTTGATGAATCGTCATTGCATGCGCCCGATCGAGATTTCCCCCACATTGCTGATTGACGAAGAACCCTAGGTTACTCGATGATTAGGATCAACAGAAAATCAAAAAAAGTCGTGGTCGATGAGAGAACCTCCGCTCTGATACCATGTCGAGATTATAGATGTGGACTAAGCTCTATATCTCCTCCAATGGAGGATTCAGTAGCTTCTAGAAGATGGTGTTCGTAGAGAGAGAAATGAGAGCTATAAAGAGTTTCTAACTTTATGAAAATGAAACTCTAAGTCTTGTATTGAGTATTGTTCTGTTATATAGAAGTGTACAGCTAAGATACAGCTGGAAAAAAAACCTCCACTAACAAATCTGCTAACATACTATACTAGCTAACACTAACTAATGGTGTGCTGACTCAGCTCAATTTGAGTATAAATACAGTCTTAATAGTTTCAAATTTACAGGTGACAGTGCTATTTTTTAATTATGTGGATGAAAAGTGGCTATTTTTCAATTAAAATTAAATAGGGGTAATGCTTGGATCCAATCTATGAAGTCGATTGAGTTTGATGCCACATATAAAGATGGAAAAATTTGGAACTACGAAGGACCTGTCTTGGGCGCCCTAATATCATGTCGAGGTTAATTTTCCTGCTCTCTGAAATTGATCTGCAGGTACCTAGGATGGGGTGTTCGTAATAGCAGAAACTTCAAAATTCAATACTTGTTGTTTGAGTTAGTTATGCACGTGTTGAGAGCACATATGCTCCGCTCTGTTGTCATAAAAGACTTGTCTCATGCAGGACCGGCCGAAAGGGGAGGCCGCTAAGGCCAAGGCTTTAGGCCCTAATTTTATAAGGGCCCCATTTCCCAGTATGTGTATATGCTTCTCATTTTTCCCTTCTTACAATTGCATATGTTTTAATTCTTTCAAGCATTGTGGCAAGCAATTTAAGTAGTGAAATTATATTTTGACATAAAGTTATCAAATTCAAGAATCAAGATATATTAGTCTAATTTTCTATTGTCTTTTTCCAATTTAAAATTTGTTATTTTTATATTTTTACTTCACAAGTATATACTGTCTTTTGAATTTTTCTTAGCTAATATCAATAATGTCTCAAGAATATTAAATAAATTGGTTGTATATTATAAATTGAGAAGAAATTATTAGAAGAAATTGATTATCTTCTTATATATATTTGTGTGTGCAATTGTGCGTGTGAGAGTGCGCTTAATTTATTTAATAATTAAAGGCCTATTATTAAAGTCTGGATTTAGGCCATAAAATCTGTTGAGCCGCCCCTGATCTCATGCTTTTAAGGATTAGTCGAGGATGGTTAGAGGATCTAGGTGACTCACTTCAACCATAGTGATGAGCCTTACATTGCTATTGAGAGGAAATAGTGACATTATGCTTTGTCTATTTGATCGTGTTGCGACACAATTCAATCTAAGTCCGTTATTTTTTTTTTGCTCCATGAAGTGGGATTGGGTTTAGTGATGTCTCTCTCTCTCTCTCTCTCTCTCTCTCTCTCTCTCTCTATATATATATATATATATATATATATATATATATATATATATATATATATATATACCCTCAAAATCGAATAACAATTGAATTTGTAAATGATTTTAAGGATACATGGATTAAATTGACACAAAGCGATAAATTAAATCGCAATTGAAATAGAATACGATAAAGTAAATTCAAACCACACGAATTGAATAGT